GGTCATCGTCTAAAGACGCACGTACATCAGCGCTTTGCCGTAGAACACCTGCTTAAACGACCTCTACCCATTGACCTTCCAGGCATGATTAGATCTGTGGCTTGACAAAAACCATTCCGTATAGCTCATTGGGTCAGAGAGGTGCACAAGCCACCACACCTCGTCAAGGTGCAGTCTCGTCGTGATGGACTTAACGCAGCATAAACGTTTCAACGTTTTATGGACCAGTTAACCCAAGGTCTTGACTTCCTTGTCGTTTACTTGGATGACATTTTGGTACCTAGCACTTCACCCGAAGAGCACAGCTCCCACTTGTGCATTCTCCTTTCACGTTTTAAACATCATGGTCTCACACTGAACCCATCTAAATGCATTTTCCGTGTCTCATCCTTAGAATTTCTGGGCCATGAGATTAATTTCCAAGGCATTCTCCCGCTGTCTTCTAAGGTTCAAGCCATTCAGGACCTCCCCCTTCCAAATTCTGTCAAACAACTTATGGCTTTTTTGGTTGAATGAATTACTATCGTCGTTTTATCCCCAATTGTTCCGCTATACTTCATCCTGTCACTCATTTGCTCTTCGGTAACGCAACAGACGTTGTCTGCACTCCTGATGCGCTTAAAGCGTTTGACACCGCCAATTCAGTCCTCCAGGACGCCACCATGTTGTTCCACCTCAACTCATCTCCATCCACTCAATTGGTGCTACATACCGACGCGTTAAATCATGCCGTTAGAGTGGCACTTCATCAAATAGTTACAAATGTCCAGCAGCCCTTGACTTTCTATTCACAGAAGCTTTCCCCATCCCAAACTAATTACAGCACCTTTGGTCGCGAATTACTGGCAGTATACCTTGCCATCCGACATTTTCGCCACCTCCTCGAAGGTCGTCAATTCATCATCATGACGAACTACAGACCACAGGTGTTTGTATTCCGTGCAAGTTCTGATCGCGCGAAATTCGTCACCTGGATTTCATCACTCAATCTCCCACCGATATTCGACACATCAACGGATCGGATAACACCATCGCAGACACTCTCTCGGCTGAACATCAACAGTATGGTTACACCATCCGATATCAGTCTTGAGACCGTTTCTCAGCATCAATCCAGTGACCCTCATTTCACAGACCTGCTCAAATTAGCCTCACTACGTTGCACGCAGGTCCTTCTTCCACATTCACCATCCACCATTTTCTGTGATACTTCCTCTGGACACC